ACACGGTTTAAAGTGTTTTATTCTTAAACCCGTGACCACTGCTGCAAAGCATCCGAGTCGTGCCGAAGTTAAAAACGAGGTAATTAAGAAAACCTCTCTTTGATATTTAACGTTATTTTCAAAATTTAAATTTTCTTTTATTTTGTATGTCTCTCCGATAACTAAACAGTTCTTTTACAGGAAAGTAGTTGATCTGACTTCTTTGCCCTGCCTGACCGAATTCAAATAAAACAACGTTGCCCCAGGATGTCAACCCAGGACCTCTCATGCTTAAAGCAACACGTTTAGTTACAGAGGCAGACTATTATGTAAGTATTTGTAACTATATTATGTTCTTAAGTTACAAATTTAGTCCAACACCAAGGAAATTCTAAGAAGAAATTTTCTTAAGAAAAATTCAATTATTCTAGATATTTATTTTATTCACCTAAGAATATTTTCAAGGAAACGGGTCGGGTCGAAGTGTAAACGAATTAAACTTGGCCACAAACTTGGGGAGCACTAATTAGATTTTCACTTCCTGCGTCGAAAACTATGTTATTAGTAATTTTATAACCTCGGTATGAATTATAGCATTAAATATTATTAATAATTAATTATTAATGATATAAGTTAAACATTATTTTTTAAATTAAGCGTTCTTTCGTAGAATTAAAAAAATCTTTCGCTCAATATCGGAAATTTATTATATGATAATTATATACATTTTAAGTAAGCAAGCTATAAATACTTATAAATATAAGTATTTACGCGACCAGTTCACATTTAAATTAAACTTATTTGAAATTTATTTTTAAACCTTCCCCGTGACCACGGCTGCTGCAAAGCATGCAAAACGTCGAGCCTAAGTTCAAAATAATTTACAAATAATTTTAACTAATATTTATCGCGTTTTAAATCATTAGTGGTTTTTTAATAGCATACTATAATCTTACATAGGTATAAAAGAAAAGGAATACTATAAATATATACTTAGTTAATAACAACACTTACGTACTTGAGCTTAATGTTAAAATTTTTATGACGGTAGCTGAATTGATTAGACTTAAGAGCAACAGCACGAAACGCTGTGTACAGTTCAAGTCCTGTCTGTGTCGTCAATTTTTATCAAATTTAATAGATTTTTAATTATATAATACTTACTTACTCCGCTGGCGCAGCGACCCAAAGTGGGTCTTGGCCTTCACATCAAGAGAACGCCACTTCCGCCGATCCTGCGTTACGGTTCGTCACCTCAGAGACACCCAGTTCCTCCAGGTCAAGCTCCACGGCGTCTTTCCAATTTATATAATGCCATTATGCAATATCATCAAAAAAATAAATAACAAGTGGTTTTTAGTGATAGAGGACAGACACGCGTGGGTGGTGGAATACCCCAGCCATATTACATCTAAACGAGATGCACTGTCGTCCTATTATGACTTTGGTTCTTCTTCGAATATATAACAATATGCTTCAGACACAAACAAACTCACAAAACATGATTAATATATACTTGATACATAACTATAATGATATAAGCGGGAAATGTAAGTTGTACGGAATTGTCGAGAGCGTTCGCTTTGCAGTGTAGCTATCACGGACTTGAGACGACTGAAGTACCCAGCACCCGCTGGGGGCTTTTACGGGTGTTAGCACACCTGAGCTTCCCCAAATTGATGATTCTAATCTGATCAAGGTGCTACGAAAACTCTCATGTTGGAAAGTAATGTATTTTCCTTGGTCAGCAAATCTATTTCCTAGTTTTACCATTTCGGTGGCCACGGGCCACAGTACTTGAGTGAATTGCTTTAAGCACGAGAGGTGGTTGGTGAACGTGGCGAAGGCGTTCTATGGACAGAGTACAAGAAAAATACTACATAGCACAATATAAGAAACGGCAATTAACAAAACATCTTGAAAATAGATAATTACGTAGGTTAAATACTGTTTGTCGTTTACGCGAGTAGTACACATTTGAATAGAACACTTTAACGGTTTAAAACGCGACATATTTCAGTTGAACTTGTTTGAAAATTATTATTTTTTGGTCTCCCCGCGACCACGGCGGCTGCCAACATCCGAAACGCTGGGCCGTAGTTAAAAATAATTTTCAAACAAGTTTAACCAAAATATATCGCATTTTAAACCGCTGTGTTATTTAAATAGTTATCAGTAATCATTTGACGTTAATGACCTCGTTGATATAATGGTAGCAATTGTTGTATGTCAGTATCTCACCGGATCTAACGTTTATGATTTTTCTGAACTTTATCGGACTTTGTTTGGAAATCTGGGTATTAGATGGGCGGTAGTAACATCGGAATTCCGTCCGGGTTTGAACCACCATCTACGGATGAAAAATTCGTCATGTTAAATTGAGATTATTAGAGAATATTCAAAATCAAAATAGGTTGTTTATCTGTTATTGTCTGTAACTGTCTTTCTCTTTCTTTAAAAAATGATTGCTAACAGTATTAAGCAAAGAGCTACTTCCTGAATAGTATTTAGTTAAAAATAAGGAGGAACGTATACTAATGCACTTTGTATTAAAAAATCCAAGTTAAGTTAGAAGAAATACGAAGAAAGGAATTCCCAGGAGATATTCAATTTAGATTCAAGTTAGAATGCATTTTTAATCCATCCACACCTAAGTGATTTTTAAGAGTCAGCTCCAGTCTGGTACCACTGGTACTGGCACTTAGTTGAAGAAAGCGAATTTTGGCTTCTATTTTTGTAGAAAAATTGTGTTGTCAGTAAATGCACTTTTGTGTTGGCTAGATACATTAATTTAAATAAAATACTTTAACATTTTAATTTTTTTAGTTATAACTAATATATCGCGTTTTAAACCGTTAAAGTAGTTTATTTAAATGTGTACTACTCGCGTAAACTATAGACAGTACCTTTGACTTTTGTTTATTATTCCTTACCCCTACCCACTTAATAAGGCTTTTTTATATTTTTTTTCTCTTGTACTTCAGGTTGCCTTATTTATAAGCTAGTACGTAAGATTTTATCTTTTGTAGTTTATGTGTAATTATAAGTAATAAAGCTGAAATAAACAAATATATGTGTATAAAATCTATTCTCTCCTCTGGTAAAGAGTATCATAAAATACATAATTTGTTCATCATTGCCTTCCTAATACAGGTTTAAACCAAAAACTGTGACGCGGAACAAAATTTTAATCGAGTTAAGTAATGTAAACCGTCCTAAATACCTCTCAGTGCTGAAATATCGATCATTACTGAAAGGTTTCACTCAATGCGGTTCGTTAGTCTATGGAGTAACGTGTTATTTGTGGTCAAAGAGCTATCGCCTTGATACGGCCGTGTTTTAAATGTGACTTGGTTTTCTATAGCATTATTCAATGATCTATCGAAAGAAAAATAATCTCGAACACTTTATTATTACTCCTTAGTTTAAAAGTTACCAATGTAGTCTTGTCTAAATTATGGGTATCGGGTGACCTGTCAAAATTGTTTACAATAATAAACATAACACGTTTTTAACAGCTTAAAACACAAAATATATACGTTTAATAATTCACAATTTATTTTAACTACAATATTTCGGATGTTTTGCAGAAACCGTGGTAAACGGGAACTGAAAATAAAGGGTGTCCCTAGTCAAAGCCAAAGCCTGGTGACATCTGTTGCATCGCAGTTGTTTTTTGCAGATCCTACCTGGGTCGTTACAGAACTAACTCACGATGTCCTCACGTTTCTCGGTATGCCCTTTTTGGGATCTCGTTTTGGTGTAATTAGTAAAAACCCAAAAGATAAATATTTAAATGCTTGTCGTGTGAACTTCAAACAAAATTTATTTATAGTGATTTATCACCTGCTCTTAGACTAATATGTTCTCCGTAAGTCGTATATTGGATCAGACAATATTTGATTAGCAGTTGGAGTGCAAACTGGTAAGGAACGTGTTTACTGCCAACGTTCGTGGCTTTCATTTTTATTGATCAGGTAAAGCTAGTTTTTATTCGCTTATACTTTAGAAATGTGTAAATAAAATTATTAAGTGCTAAAATAACTTGAGAATTTCTCTTACTCAAAGAGATTGTAATATAAGGTAATTGAATGCTTTCCTTTGTTCGTTAGATTCCAAGTTAAATTTTTGAAATGTGAAATCCTATTTCTAACGCGGTAGGTGGGGCTAACATATTTCTGTGTCAGTGTGTCTCAATTTTATTTAAAAGCTACCTTTTATTTATAACTAGACTTGCTAGAGTTCTGTGTGTCTAGTGAAGTCGAACCCAAAACCCGTTGCGATTAAGACAATACTAGTCAAAATGTTTAAAGTATTTTTAAGAAATATCTATAGTCGCAGTTTACACGACTAGTATATATTTAAATAAAACACATTACACGGTTTAAGTGGCAAATTATTGTAGTTAATTTACGGCCTGACAGTTCCATAGGAGGGGCTGTAGTTATAATGTATTAAAAAGGCTAATTAATATATTTCTCGTTTTCAAACCGTTAAAAGTGTCTTATTTAATTATCTATATACCTAATATTTGTAGATTTTTTAAATAATTAAAATCCTGATTTAGTTTGAAACGAGCGGGTCTTGAAGCTGTTGCGTTATCAGTTGTAAACTTTTTATTTAATTAAAGCTATCATGTGCAACCCCTATAACCCCTGTTTTAATAATTCAAGTATTTAAGATAAGCTTTTCCCAAGATATGTTTTTTTCTATCCCATAGATAATCTTATATTTATCTGACCGCCAAGCTGAATGATTAATCGTATTGCCTAGCATTACATTAGGCGCAACAAAACTTGGGTTCGAATCTTGGAAAAACAATAAATTCTTTCAGTAGGGCAAATCAGAGAAGTTTCATCAACTACTAGTCTGTAATTAAAACCGATCAGTGAAACGGAAGCAGAAATGTGTTCTCCCCACGCCCCACAGGGAAATCCAAGATTTCACTTTTATCCCAAGATATATCTTGAGATTTTTAGTCTATATTATTAAAGTAATTTTTTTCGTATCCGTGTACAGTTATGAAGAAAACAAAGACTTTCCCGAATAAGAAGTCTTCTAAGCCACAGAGCAACATTAGTACGACTAAAGTGGATGAGAAAATTCCCAATCAAGATTCCTTAGACGATGAGAACCAAGGATTCGGTGGTTGGCTGAGGTTAGTATGTTAGTTTATATGGAGACTCGCGTGGTCTAGCGGTCGCGATTGTGAGGTTGAAAGATCGGTCGCGCATCAGAAATATGTGGGACTTTTATATTTACCTTTTATATTATTATTTATAATCTACTTTTTAGGAGAATATTGTCCCCATATAACAATGTCTATCACTAACAGTGATCGTTATTTTTTTGCTAGTATCAGAAAATAGTGGAAGTAGTTATTAAATATAGTCTATAGTTAACGCGAGTAGTAAACGTGTAAATAAAAAATCTTTTAACTGTTTCAAACTGGAGATATATTAGGTAAATTTTTGTTGTATATTTTGTCCCCTCGTGAGGTTTGGATGATGTGAACAATGTTTAAAAACATTAATATATTTAAACTGTTAAAACGTTTTATTTAAAAGTAGTATCATTGTCTCTCTTCTGTAAGTCTCAAATTACTAAATTAATGCAATTATCTAGAAGTGATTCCATTTATAAATTCATTTACTACCCACGTAGTCCAACGCCTCAACGAGATGACCACGTCAAAAACGTAATAATTACGTACCGGGAATAGGACAAATGAGTCACATACTAGTTTGTAAATAAAGAAGGTTGATCTTAGTTCAACTTTTTGTGTTTAAGGTTATATAACCTATAAATTGAATTAATGAATACTCCTGAGAGTTTATTAAAACACAATACATTCAATATTGTATTAAAAAAAAATATGAAAGAGAGAGTCATATAACATCTAAACAAATTGCACTGACGACCTATTTGGCTTTGGATATTTCGAAATCTACAGACTGAATTTGAAAGCTTCATCTGTAGACGAAATTTCGATATTTTTACCATGTCTTTAATATCCAATTTCCAAAAATGAAATTCAACATATTTCATAAAAATGGACTAGAAAAAAATGTTGGATCGAATCGATGACTAGTTGTTTATTAGCCATACATTTCTACCACTTCAAAGTTATTTTGAAGTCTGGAAACGTTAGGCTGTTAAAGTGTAACACGCCTAACAGTTTAATGTCTAGAAGTTAAACAAACAACGTTATTGAAAAGAAAGTCAAAAATACAAAGTCCACCCTAAATATAGGGTAATATGTGTTGCCAAATTCACCCCTAACACAAGCAAGGGATGTTTAACAGGCGCAGAGAGTAAACAGCAAAACAATTTTCGTATCAACAAAAAGTGGTACGGAACTGGCTTCAGTCCAAAATAAGCTGGAAATTGAGTCCGAACTGACAAGAAGCCTTAAGACTTCGCTGGGAATCGGAAAGTTCTCACTTTGGGCTAACTTAATTGTATTTCGCCTTGCTAACATTATTTGTACCGAATTATGTTAAGCTTATATAACGTTACTATTCAGCAAATGCTATAGAAACGGGAGATATTTAAGGCTTACTAACTCAATACGTATTAAATACAATATAATTAACGCATATAGAAATTAGCATGCAAACTTACAGGCAAGCACAGCAAGAAGCGAGCACTAACTACTGCAATACTGGGTATAAAGTAAAAATGTTACCTTATATAATATCCTTTTCTAAAATTCTTCTAATTTCACTGTATTATACAATTCATACAACTTTTTTTATACACAATATATATTTTTTTCAGATCAGCAGATGGCCTCGAAAATATGAAATTATTCGTCATAGCTAACAGCATTGTAATTCTAACTACGTTGGTATACCCGCAGCTGCAGGCCATTTTTGATATTATTTCAGAAACAATATACGGAACGGATACAGAATATTAAATAGCGGCCATTTTAAAATATACACGAACATAATTACGATTCAATTCGAAACAAATAAAAACTCAAAGTCAGAAAGCAAGAGACACGATGTTTATTAAGTCCACCAACCCTCACTGGACGTGGCGGATCTAAGCCTATACACTCCCAGTTAAAAGTGTTCCCAATAGTGGGACGTAAATAAATTGTACCAATTAATGCTTAACTTCTTCGGAAATTAAATTTAGTAGAGAACACGATGATTAGGACGAGACAGTCTTGTAAATTCGTACAACAGTGTTATAATCCCTGTATTAAATTATTATCGCAAAATTAATATTAGCACGAGGTGCTTGAGTTCGCTGGTTTTAGTGTTTAATTAAAATACACATTGGTTTAGTAGTACTATCAAATTAACAGATTATAAGAGTAAATTTATTTTTTAGATTACATATGTAACATAAAACTAAGTACAGAAATGGTACTCTAAAAACTATAACATTTGTCTCAAGTTAGTACAATTTGAAACAAGTCGCCGCTTTCGTTTACTTAAGAGAAAACCTTAATAACAACCACACAGCCAAACAAATAATATTTTAATATAACATAAAAATTAAACATTTATGATAAATTGAAAATTTCGACTCGGGAAGGACTTGACCCGGCTTCCACAGCGTACCGTGCTGTGCACCATTTGAGGTACCGAGTCCTATTATTAATATTACATAAGTTTATTCTATCCTACAACCGTCCTCTACTTAAAATGTCCGTAGTACACAGTAAAATCCAGTCATTTATAATTATTTTCGAATTAAGACCGCGTTTCGCTTCTTAAGTTTATCCCCAAAATCATTGAAGCCAGCTGTCCCGACTGTCAAATGAATTACATCGGCTGGCTAATTTGAGCGAATCAATTCTAACCGAGATCTAACAATATTAGAAGTCAAAGTTGATTATTGGAAATATTTAACTGGTATTCATTGAGAATGCGGATTTCTCTTCATTACCTTTTAAGTACTTTAATAATTCAAACATTGACTTGGTTTTAAAACCTGCTTAGTGATTAGTCGTTTTTGAAAATGTTTTAGAGTTAATTAGCGAGTAATCTAAGCTTTGATTTCCCGCTTGATGACCGCTTCTGTAGCTAAATGGTTAAGTGTTGCCTAGCATTGCGTAAGGCGAGAGGGCCTGGGTTCGAATCCGGGGGAGACAGTCAATTGTTTCGGTCGGACAGGGCACTGAAGTCTGGTCAAAGACTTGCCTGTAAATTAAAAACTCATAAGTGAAACGGACACAGACATATGTTCGCCCGATTATACTTTTAAACTTTGATATATGATTCTATCATCACATAATTAATTTCATATAAATTGAAAACAATTGTTCGTAGCAGTATCGTTTTCAATTCAAGGATTACCTTTGTGATACTAAAAGACTTTCTGTAAAGGTTTTGTGAGGGCGGTATCGCTTTTCATTCCGACGCTAAATGTCCCCGTTTCTAAGTAGGTAACCTATTTGTAAAACCTTAAAACCTAAGACTGCGTTTACAGACTCTTAGGCAATGTTTAGCGCTGAAATTATAAAGGCGCTTCTTATTAAGACTTGCTGGTTTTGTAAGCTTTCTTAATTAATTTACTAGGTTAGGCAGATGTCACACAGAAGTGACCCTCGTACATTTATTTCGTTTCTATGCACTTACTGTTGGTACTTAAAGAATATCTGAAGCAACTTTGTAGCATTTAAGCCTTATGTTTTTAAAATTGTTTATCCACATCAACTTAAAGATTTTTTGTACGATCTGACGATTTAATTACGAGTTCCTATAAGTATATAACTACATGGTTTAATGTATATATACAAACTTACTTTTTAATTCTAAAAATATAAAACTTCTTTAAAAGCTATAGACAATGTTGGGTTATCTGTTCCGTTTAGTATTTTCTTTAGGCGTCCTAGTTTGGTATTCGTTCAGTATTTGGAATGTTATCTCTGATTACTTTAACAAAGAATTTCAAAAATTATTAGAGAATACGACGGAAGAAATTGAGACTATCTTACACGACGAATTATGATTAGTTATTTTATAATACATTGTCGACAGTTATGTATTTTAATGCTGTAGTGTAGAGAAAAAGCTATTTAAAATGTAGAGATTAGGATACAGTTTGTACATTCAAATATAAAAATGAGCTAGATTTAAGCGATATTTATCATTTTAAAACTCAGGTATATGCTTAAAGGTTCATTGTTTTTTTTTAAATATGGAATTACTCTTATTGTAACACTTGTCACTAGTAACTATTCTTATTTTGTACTATAATGCAGTTTAATAACTGTGATGTATTATTATGTATTTATAATAAATAATGTTTGGTATAAATAACACTGTATTTTTTAAGCAAACAGTTAAAATAAATATTTAAATCACCTTATTGTTTTATTTTTTAATTTAATATCTGTATTCACAAGTAATATATTAATTTTCTCTTAACTTAAGATCACGCGGGTGTAACCATGGTTGCTGCAAAGCATCTGAAACGTCAGGTAATCACTATTTAGAGCAACAGTACGGATGCCGGTTCAAGTCCGGTCCGTATTTTTTTTTATATATCGATAGAGTATCTATTTCATTTGTTATATGGATGGGCTATTTGCCATCAAGTGAGTGCACCACGCTTGTCTGTCTTCCTCTATCATAAATGGGGTGTCTCTAAGCTTGTGGGGTTTTAATAAGCTCGCGAAAAGGTAAGTGCACTTTTAACTTTTCGGGCGTTTTGGGTGCTGTATGAAATATCCAGTTAATAGGGTCATGTTGCGGGGAAACTTCGAGAGGGAAGTTTCAAGTGACGCTAAAACGCTGCAACAAATACTTGGAAGGCAGCTTAAAAGGTCTTAGTGGTGAAAACTTTCCAATTTATAGTTTTTGTCGCGATTTTAGCAGAGAGCAAGTAACATTTAGACCTCGGTCTTCAAGTGAAACGCGAATGAAGCAGCCAGCGTTGCTTATTACGTTGAATTGGAGATATTAAGAGAAATTACGTTCTGCGTTTAATTAATTTTCTTAGGTGACACTTGGGTGAAAAGCTAGAGTGCAAAAAGCAAATTAAAAAGGGTTTTAAGTACGCTACGAACCGCATCCATTTAAAATACGAAAAATTTAAGCCCGAATTTTACATGTTCCACTTTTAATTTTGCCGCGTATATATTTCAATAAAACACTTTAAACGGTTAAAATCGAACGAACAAAATATATTAGTTAAAGTTATTTAACGTTTAAAACCGATTAAAGAATTTTAATGAAGTGAAGCTGATTAAAAATCCATGTAGATTGAAAAAAATACAATAAGTTTTTAAAGTATATTTTTACTAGAATTACAATTTAAATAACTACGTTTTTAATAACAATAAGCACGAATAACCAATTAGAGTATATTTTGAAACGTACATTTACATACACAATATAAACATAATAGAAAACTTAAAAAAACAGTTCTGTTGTTTTATCGACTCTTGATGCGATAGTTTAGTTGGCCAACACTAATATTAGCTTAGAGTTCCGTCTGTTTATTTAAATCTTGGCGAAACAGATATTTGCAAATTGTTTTGGTGTGTACAAAGTAAATTCCAATTATAATTTAGACAAGCGGTTTCCTGCTACTATAAAATGATCTTAATTATCTGAAGATCTTGCCAGAGGCACTATCAAATTATCTCCGACAAATGAACTTTCAGAGAGAAACGTCAGTTGCCAATGTCACAAATCTATCTAGGCGGGTGAACTAAGCAGAATTGTCAATTACTGTTTTACCGACTGTACAAACATATATGTGTTTGAAACTCCTGTTTGTTAGTTTTTTTAATTGTAAAAAATTGTGCGTGCTTCTTAAGGGTTTTCACATGGAAAGAAAAATGTTTTTTTATATGACAGAGAAGAACTGACAAACATAATGTAATGCGTGTTATCAACGAGCTGTAGGAGGGAATCGACATTTTTACGTGCAGCTTGGGTAAATTGACAAAAACATCACTCCATGAAATATGTACTAAATAATTCTATCGCAATGAACATTAGAATGTTATAATATAATAAATAATATAATAAAATAAATAATTAAAGTTAGAATATGTTGTGTATAAATAAATAAGTTTTGGAATTCCGCAGACTGGTTTTTACAAACGTAGACAGTGGCTAGGTTGATATGGATGGATTTCAATATTTCTACAACGCATTTAATATTAAATTTTTCCGAAAATGATTTTTTAAGGCTCCGGTGGAATCTGAACTAATGACCCGTTAATAATTAGCAAAACATTACATTTATTACATTCGATGTTTACCTTCTTATCAGCCGAAAGGTAAAATCAATTTAACATGGACCAAAATAAACAAATTATTATGTAATACATAGCAAATTAACGTAAAAAATGTATAAACTTCAGAGTTGCCTACCTATATATATTATTAACTGCTTCTCTGTAAATAAACATGATAAGTGAGACGGACACAAAAATGTGTTCGCTCGTGTGGGAGTTCTCTATTTCTTAACACTGTTGTTTATAATTTAAAGAACTACTTTTAAATAATAAGTTATTTTATGTTCCTGACCTAGATAGCAATGTAGCAAATATTTATATAAAATGCTTGCACTTTTGTCAAAGTTGTATCAACGTAAAGCTGAGCAATTTGACGACTCGCAACTTATCCGGCGATGCTCCAGATCGATAGAAAGGTCCTGTTTTCCTGGCACCACGCCAATGCACTCACTGTTAACCGTTCAACGAAACTACTGATCTTTAATTACAGTGCGATAGTATTTTGTTCTTATAATTGTATAATAAGTTGCGGGAACTTCAACGGGTTGAAATACCGTCTGTAGCTTACGCGAGTAGTGCACATTTAAATAAACAACTTTAACGGTTTAAAACGCGATCTATGTTAGTTAAAGTTATCCGGATTCTTTTTTTATGTACGGCCCGATGTTTTGGTTGGTGTAAAGCATACAAAAAGTCCGAATTATTTTGGT